AAACATATTGTGAAAACTGTAGATAGGGAAGCTCATTTCTGTAGTGCCCTTTCTGCCTTTCTTAAAGCGTGTTCAATTTAGCATGATTTGACTTCCATGACTACTCCATTATGCCAAGAATTTCAAGGACAACTTGCTTTTTGTTGAGAAAGTTAGAACAAATAAATGTAGAACAAATAGATCGTGGTTCAGCGTGTCGCTTCTCCCTGCGCTTCCAGCAGAGTGGAGGTTCCTTCCATCAGTAAGACAAGTCAGACACAGTCTCTGTGTGGTGTTCTCTGCTACTGCTCTCTGGCTGCTGTTTGATGGGGCATGGGGCTTCTTTTCAAAGAAACTATGTGATGGAAAGAAACCATCCTGTCTTAGCCATTGCAGTAGTTTTATTAAAAATTTGAATTGTTAGTTAGGTGCATGTCAGTATTCTGGTAATAATCTGCAGTATGAAATTGGAATAGTTGAAGTATCTAATAGATTTATACCGAGGCCTACAATCAGACATATGGCACTTTAAAATAAAAGAACAGGAAAGTCTTGTGTAAATATTGCTTTCGTAAGTCACCTTTGGTGCTGCAATCGTCTGTGCTTGTTTATGTTGGATAAAGCAATCTATGACTGCTGAAATAATTTCTGTTGAGGAACATTTAAATAAAACGAGAAAAAAGTCTCATGATATCACTGAGGAGCATTTCATGTAATCCCTTTCATAAGCAAATAAACATATGTTTCAAAAATGCTAAAACTGCATTTTTATGCTGTTCCTGCTGTGGAAGTGTGTTCCAGTATCTACCTTCTCTGCCAGTCAAGGAAAAAAAAGTTCAGGCTGGGAATGTACTGTTTAAATTTGTGGGCAGCATGCAGCCATTTCTCCTTTGCACTCGTAGTGTTCTTTGCGTTGGTATTGCTCTTTAGTTTAAGTAACTCATATTTCTTCCTTGATATTTCCTGCTTGATATTTTCCCAAGGGTATTTCTAGAGAGCTTTCATTTTCCTCGACTAAATAATTCAATCCTCTATCATTGTCATAGGATGGACTCTATCCTCCTCATGATGGAAATAACCTTTCTGCGTACCTGGCTCAATCTAAAAATGTTCAGTCCTGATTTCAGCTGGGATAGAGTTAATTTCCTTCCTAGTAGCTGGTACAGTGCTGTGTTTTGGATTTAGTACGAGAATAATGTTGATAACACACCGATGTTTTATCTGTTGCTAAGTAGTGCTTACACTAGCCAAGGACTTTTCAGCTTCCCATGCCCTGCCAGCGAGAAGCTGGGAGAGGGCACCGCCAGGACAGCTGACCCAAACTGGCCAAAGGGCTATTCCATACCATGTGACGTCATGCTCAGTATATAAACTGGAGGGAGTTGGCCAGGGGGTGGTGACCGCTGCTCGGGGACTGGCTGGGCATTGGTCAGTGGGTGGTGAGCCTCATTTATTTTGTTTATTATTATTATTACTATAATATTTTATTTTCCCTTCCTTTTCTGTCCTATTAAACTGTCCTTACCTCAACTCATGAATTTTACTCCCCCCTTGCCCCCCAATCCTCTCCCCCATCCCACTGCGGGGGGGAGCGTGGGGAAGTGAGCAAATGGCTGTGTGGTGTTCAGCAGCCTGCCGGGTTAAACCACAACATGTTCTTTTTCACGTATACAGTATTTCCTACCAGGTCTGGCTGGTGCCTGGTGATGCAACATAGTGCTTAAGCACTTGGTCTTACTGCTGCTGCTGTTTACTGATTGTATTTTGCACAGAAAAAGAAAAGGTACCACCCATGTGTTTACAACATGTAACTTGTCTTTAAGGTTTTTAATTAAAATTGTCTCCTTTTGAATTGGAAATTTGCGTAAGACTACAATTTTAAATTTATCTGTTCAGTTTATGGTGATGAATGTAAAACTAAATAAGGCTGTGGCATAATTAGGTTAGGTCTTTGAAAAGGGGAGGGAGGGGTCACAGGCATCTGAAAAAGCAATCTGATATTTGGCTAGTACTGACATGGTTGAAATTATATGAAATAATCTGCAAACTCTTATTTGTGCAATAAAACTACATGCTTCTTCAGAAATTTTTTAGTGGTGCCATGAGGGTAATCCACAGCAAGATTTCTACTACACATCCTGTTTATTTTTTTTCCTCCCCTATCTATAGAAATAGTTTTGGATATTGCTGCTCTTTTCATTGAAATTTATCTCATGATAAATTTTATTGCTTTACCTGCTCACGCTTGCAATAAATCCTCTGCAAATTGCTGAACTTAACTATATAGTCTGCCTTTTCTCCGAGACTCCATACCAGATTTCAATGCTGAACATTGTTTTTAAACATACCACATAACTGCTTTGATTATAATTCTGGAAATCCTGATGTGTTTGATGGAAAATCAATCCTGTGAAAAGGCTGCTAACATGTGATTGACTTGTAATTTTGATAATTTGCTTATTGAAGAATAGAACTAGAGGTTAGCCTGATTTGGGTGAACTTTTCACTGAGACACCCAGCAAGGAGAAAACATCATAATGGAAACATAGATGATGGGGAAAAAGCTCATTCAGTTTTCAAAAAAATTCTGATTATTCTTTTGATAAGGCACATGCAATTTTTAGAATCAAAAATTGTCCCTGCTTTGGATTTCTTTTTGGTTGTGTGTGCAGTGATTGCTGTTCAATGGTGAATAGCAGGACCAATCATGAAAACAAAGTCTCAGTAAAAGTTTGTATCTGTGAGCTTCGTTGCCCTAACAAAAAGTTTGTTGAAGGGTCATTCAGTTAGCCAAATCCTAAACTTCTAGAAAATTATAACACGTCTCTGGAAAAGGTTAGAGTTGCATCTGTTATGGTCCTGTTATTTTTATAGCATCCAGTGAAAAAGAACCAGGGGGCGGGGGGGGGGGGGGAAATCCTTATTTCATGTAGATATGCAAACATTGCTTATCTTCTCACAGGATATGCTCATAGGAAACTACAATGAAAGGTGTAGTTTTTCGGATCATGGTCTGTTTGCTGTGTTAAAGCCTTCAGAACGAAAAGCTTTAAAATAATCAACATAAAATATTCAATTTATGTGTATCAAACTAGAGCATATAAGAATAAAAGGAATAAGTACTGAGAATTTGTTTGTTAAACAATTTTATTTAGACTGCTCAGGATAGCAAACCAAGTGGGTTCATGAAACTCTACAAGCAGTGTCACTGATGTAAGGAGGGAGAGTGAGCGGGTACCCCCACAAGCTCTCTGTTTTTTACTTTCAAAGCAAGGTTTGCCTCTTATTTTTTTAAGACAAAAAGTGATTACAGTGTGACTGTTATCATTAGTATTAATTCAGGTGTTGTTCAGGCTGTTCATAAATATTAACAGCCAAAAAAGAATGCCGTGCTATCAATCCTTACCCTTGGTGTTCAGAAGTTTGGTCTTGCAGTTGAACTCGCATCAGCTGAATAGCAAAGCTGTTGCTAGAGGAAATGACTGTGCCATGGAGATGTGAGGAAATGACTGTGCCATGGAGATGTCCTTTAGAGGCTTCACCTAAATGGACATCTGAATAAATGCTTCGCTGTTTTGATGCTCCTTCATAGGTCTGGTCTGTGCTGGGGTAATTATAGTCTGTAATTAGCTGCAGCACAATTCTCTTGAAGTCAATGAATGTGTAATTTTTACTGTAAGCTGGGAAATAGCATTTTACCTTGGCTTGCTCTTGTGTATAATTTACGGATGATTTTCTATTGGGATATTTGTGTAAAATGTTTAGACCTCTTGAAAAAACCCAACCCTACAGTGATACTCCAGTGTTTCTTTCCTTGGCAAGAAACCAATTAAAAGCTGTCATTGCTTACACATGGGGTGTAGCCATCCCCACGGCCGGGGCCGTGTTGGGAGGATCAGAGGAGTGTCTAAGTATCTTTAAAAATGTGGACTGCAATATCATATACAGTTCTCCATGGTGAAATGGGAAGGAGAATGCTTGTCTCTTATCATCCTGTTTCAGTGGTACTGTGTGGCTCTTTGAAAATGAGAAGCGCTTCTTAATTAATTTTTATTTCTGTGTGCTTTAAAGAGGTAATATTTTTCTTCTATTTAATGTAGAAAACCAAATTGTTCACAAAGTGCAGTCATCACATGTAGTATACGTGCTTTTATATATTTTAAGACTACACCTGTGCATTTGCTAGCTCTGCATGTACTGCTTTATGTCTTTGAACCTATCTTTTGAGTAAACCAACAATATCTTACTTATTTTCTTTCGTTATTCTGCCCTGCTTCCATTGATGACTCTAAACTTTTGACTCCAGACTGGCAATATGAGGGTAAGATGGCAAAATGTGACTTCCTGAACATTGCTCGTCTGTTTTTAATTTTTATTTTCCTTAGAACATTATTAAAATTCTGTTCATTCTCTTTAATTAGATCCTTTTGTTGCAATTAATTCAAATTATGTTTGTTTCTGTTGTGAAGCTTTAATTATGATTTATACCTTTTAAGCATTCCTCTGTTATTTCTTTGGGTTAAATTACCATCTATTATCCCTGTCCTGAAGGACTTACGCTTTGCTGAGATCGCTGCTGGTATCTCTAGAGTAAGACATGAACAGGTTTATAGTGTAGCCATCAAACTGTATTGTGGTGATACATGACAATTCGGGGGGGGGGGGTGTTCATGACTTGGAAAGGAAAGCTCACATAAGATATAACAGAACAAACCATATTAAGTTTTTGCTGTTTCAGTGTTTGTTTTAAATATGGATCAGCATCTGAGATGTTAAATCCTTTGTCATCAGATTCTCCTTTGCTTTATAAAGTTTATCTGAGTAAGGGATAGGAAAACAGCTCAGTGTTTGATCCTCTGTGAATGTAACTTAGCTAACAGTTGTAGCTCATACATACATCATATTTAAGTGAATACTTGTCTTCAGTGTGCTGAATATGCTGACTTGTTTTAAAAAACAGCAACAAAACCCCCAGATACTTCTTCTGGAATTAGAAATAACTTCTCTTTTCATCTTTATAGATTGCAAATTGGCCAGAACAGGTCCTCCAGCCACAATAGTTCCTATTGATGAAGAAAGTCGGAACGGTGAGTGCCCCTTGGTTTTCCGTGACACCCTTTCGGTTACTCCACATTAGCCAATCAGGGTGTAGAGGCGCATGTGGGGGAGCGGAGTGTCCGGCTTGGCAGTGAGGACCCCTGTGCTTCTACTTTGAGGGGTGGTCTCTGAAAACCTGTTAATGGGGGTTGTGGGTGGAAAGGTGACAGTGATCCGAAATGCTGAGAGGTGTCATTTCTTCCTGAAAATTATACATTTTGATGATGTTGCTCTTTGACTCTAGATAGCTCTTATGAATATACATTAAGTTTTAACAAGTATTTAGACCATGATTATTTGTAATACAACAGTAGTTTAGCTCCATTGTTGCTAATATTGCAGCTTATTCTTTACTGTCTGACTTCTTATGTCAGTATGATGTTACCGGAGGACAAAATTCTGGTCAGTCTGTTTTTGGTGTGGTTAGGTAAAGCTGAAGCCTTCTTTCTCTGAAGCTTCATAGGAATGTTAACATTGCTGTCTTCTGTGTTTCACATGCAGCTTTTAGAAGGTTGCTTGTTGTTTTGCTTGAAGTTTAATAACATGAGATTATGGACACCTCTGAAATGGCAAAACTTGCTTGCATGTAGTCATGGAAACTTCAAAAGAAAATGAATTTTTTTCTTTAATTCTCCTGTGAAATCATACAGTTCTCGAATTGTTGATCTGTAGTCTTACCATGGCATTTATGCAGCATACTGTAATGTGATGAAGTGCTTTACTCTGTTGGAGTCAATGCTTTGTACAGGTGGCTGCTACTCCTGATACGAAGTTACTAGTCTTTCCTGATTTTTGTTTTGTGATGATTTTTTTTTTTTAACCTCATCAGCTAGGCACAGTTGTGTGCTGCGTGTGGTTGTGATTTATCATATATGGGTGCTTGAAATGTTGAATGAAGTCAGGGTCATGCTGGTGGAACCTCTCTGCTGTTATCTTTGGGGAAACTGCTTGCTGTTGGAGTTGCTCAAGGTCAGACGGATAAGAGTATGCAGGTTTTACTGGTAAGAGAACCAAAAAACCAATTGTTAATACGCCTGTGTTCTGAAGAACTCAGTTGGTACTGGAGTGGCTTTTAAAAACAGGCTGTTTTCTTCCACCTGTGCTGATTTTTCTTGCAGTCATGTCTGCTGAAACTAAAAAATAATGATTGGTCTCAGCAAAATGAAATTCCCCTGGTAATCATGTCGACATGCTGAGTAGGACTCTTTTTTTCTGTTTGTTTTGGTTTTTGTAATGCAGCCTGAGTGCCATAAAAGTAACTTACACAGTGCAATATTCGTTTCAGTAGAAAGCTGTATCATGTTTTTATTATGCTTATATCAAGTGAAAAACCTCCAAGTCTTTTCTTTTTCTTTCAGAGTGTTTAAATGGTGTGTGATCACAACATCCATGATAGGTCTTACTCTTTAATAGCAGAACTTGTGTGTAATCTGTGCTGCAGTATTAGTTAACTATTGTTAAAATAGTTTGAGATATATGGTACCTAAATAGTTCAAGCGCCCAGTATCAAAACTGTTTTTTTCAGTGTATGTACTATAGAAGGAGTCTTGGGATTTGATGCTTATGAAGTAATTGTATCTGTATCACCTTGTTAGGAAGGCATAAAGTACTCTTGATTATACATAGGTAGCGCTGGCATGTTCTGAAGTACTTTATTCTTATGTGCTAGCGGCACTCGAGTTACTCATCTGGAGAATATGGTTGGAACAACAGCTGAAACTAAGGCTAGACGCTGACCATAGAATCATTTGAAATATAAACAAAAATTTAGAGAAATAAAAAGCTTGCAGCTCTCTAATTGAGCGGCATAATAAAGTTTATTTCTCACCTTTTTAATGCTTGATTCGGTGTTTGCTAAAAACTAGAAAGTTAACATTTCTGTTCAAATGTAACTGTTCCTGCAAAAAAGATGGTTAAACTGCGTATGGTGGGGAGAGGTGTGAATTTCCTAAAAGCTTTGCATGTGTCTGCAATTATTTAATTTGTCTATTTCACTATGAATTCTTATGAACCATTAACTTCCCATTAAAGAAGTCAAAACTTCAATTCGCATTGTAGTTAATGGAAGCGACACACCTCATCTGTAAGTCACAATATGTACTAAGTAAACGGATCTCCTGGGAAGCCAGTTCTTGAGTTGAAATATCCTTAAACCTTTTGCTGTCTTTGCTGAAGTGGTAAGTTGTATGCTCCCCACAACCATGTGTGACTGAAATGAATGAAGGTGAAATCTCAGTACAGTGTAGAAGCTCAGAGGTTGAGTCAATGCTGCTACTTGTCTACTTCATACTAAATAATTGTTTTTCCATTACTCTTGCTGAAACTGAATGTAGATATTTTAAAACAAAAATAGTCACAGCAAAGGATGCGGAGCAGCTACCAGCAGATTTTGTTTTCCAGCTCTGTGCGCACACCCTTCCAGATCTCTTCAGGTTCAGGGCAAATGCTTTAGCTTGCTATAGTCGAATTTGGATCCGTGCCGAATGATGGGTATTGTTGCAACTGAATGTGTATGAGTCCACACCCATGCGCGGATGTGCACGTGTGCACACACACACACACGTATCAGGGAATTAGAAGACTAACTGATCAGGTCATGCTTTGTTACTTGGATGCTTCCTGCATGCAACTGCACCTGTCTTTTTTTTTTTTTTTTTTTTTTTTTTTTTTTTGCCTCTTTTTGTAGTCACGTTCGCATGCTTACAGAAGATGTTTGTAGGTAGTATCTCACTATGCCATCAGTGTTGCAAAATATTAGTACGCTATTGTTAGTTATGCTCTTTTCATATACTGATTTTTGGTTCTAGGCAAGCCACTATTGTATTCTGATGAGTACACTTTCATTTGTGTGACTCTTTGTATTGGCTACAGTATCAATTTGTGCTCTACAGCACTGCCCTTGGCCGATTTCCTCACATATTTTACACTACAGCTTAAAACAACTAGTGAAAGAAGCAGACTGAGAGCTGATTCATCACCAGTAGGGCCTGAGTTAGATTTTTCAGAATGACCCCTGTTACATTCAGTAGAAATGGTTTGGTTGCCAGAGCTCATCTCCTGTACCTTTCATCCTTCCTGTGCATTAGAAGATGAATCCCTATACAGGGTAAGGGGTTACAAATAAGTCAAAACAGCTCTGCCACCAAAAAACCTTTGTACAAATCTTGAGAAGGGAACAGACAGAGGATGTAAAGGGTAGTAAGGAGGGTCAGCTGAAGCAGTGTGTTGTGGTAAGAAAATGTTTTAATACTAGTTTTTGGTATGTTGGGAGCTTTAGTACGAGGATTCGATGTTGCTGTGCTACAAAACATGCAGCCTGAAAGTAAAAATCATGGGCATCGATGCCAGGATCAATGGGGTGAGTGTATTTACTGTGTGTGTGAATTCACTAGAATAGTTTATCAAAAATTATTTCACATCGTTTGCCATTCAGTCTCAAAATCGGCAGTATATAGTTGTTAAAAGTGATAGCAAAGCTGTAGTGGTGGACATTTGGATGATAGGCAGATTATATGTTATACAACATTTCCAATGACCAAAGAAACTTTGTATTGGAATTGCCAATAGATGCAGAGAAACAATCCGCCTATTTTTGTTCTAATATATACAAATGTGTCTACATCACTTAAAGTATGACATCTAATCAGGTTATTTTAATTCCTTGCACTGCACCGCACCTTTCAAAGGTCTGTTTTTGATGCTGGACTGTCTCTTTTAAGGTTTTAGAATGAAGATCTCGAAACAGTGAGTTAACATCTCTGTGTGAGTTTTCATTTCATCCAGTGCACATATTCATCATGTTCTGGCAACTGAAAAAAAACACAAAATCCTGCTCTTTAGAAGTATATCTGTAGTTCCACTGTGTTGAATGTTGCTTCACAGAGTTACCATGCCTGACCTTTAAAGATCTCCTTGAGAGATCAGCATAGATGTTAGGATTTGACGGTTTCCCACCACTGGATTAATATCTCATAAAGAGATCAAGTAATTTAGGTACAATAGTATGTTAGATTATAGTTGTGTACCTGTGAAGAATCCTAGATGGGGTGAACTTTACATTTCTTGAGGTACAAATGAATTATTTTTTCATTTTTCCATTGTTTAACTGAATGGGTGATAGTACTTGAGATCATATTAATGGTAAAATTTAATTCTTCTAGATATGCGGGGGTTTTTTATAGGCAGAGAGTTATTTTCACCTGTGGATTTTTTTCATTACTTAATTTGAGACTTGGTTTTAACTTCTTTTAAAGACTGAACGAATGAGACTTATTCATACTTCAGACTTTTTCGTTGCAACTGTACCCCAAGTTTTTGGGGCTTTCATGTAGATTTCCTTAAGATGAGCATTCTGAAATGCTAAAAGGCTTTGAATCTTTAAAAAGGGTTTTTAATGGAAAGTAGACTATTGGGAAATGACCTCTAAAAGAGGCAAAATTGAGATCTGCTAAATATGACTGATTAAAATAGAATTTGGAATAAAATGCAGAGGTTGGGGTGAGGGAGCAAACAGGCTGCAGTATTGCAGGTGTTGCAGGATGTTGGTTGACCTCGCGTACAACGGGGGTGCGCAGACAGAATAGCTGTACCTCTGTCACTTGCTGCTTGATATTTGCCTTTATGTGTCTCATTTCAAGATAGCTAAAAACTTAATAGAATATGGGCAAGTACTATTAAAATTTTAACAGATACTTGTTTTGGGTATGAGTAGAACAAGTAACAGATACTTGTTTTGGGTATACGTAGCTAATAGTCAGTATGCTAGCCAGGTGCCGACATAGAGATCAGTGTAACTCTAAAAGATCTACTCTAATGTGAAGAATATGAACTGGTGTCTTGGTAATGCATTCATAACAAAAACTCTGTAATTATGAATATTTTGTTTGTGTTCTTGCCTATCCTACGTAAATCTGTAAATGTTGTTCTGCTTTCGATTTGTTTTGTTCTGGTTTTGTTTTGTTTCTCCCCCCCTGCCCTTATGGTCTCTCTC